GGGCCGCGCCCTGCCGGGTCGGAGCCGCCGGTGCCCGGGTGATGCCCGCGGGGCCGAGCCCGAGACAGCTGTGCGCCAGCGTGGGGCTAGCGCTGCCCTTGGGCGCTCGCTTTGTAGGCGGAGCTGGGGTGGGCTGGAGCCCCGGTGACACCGTCTGCTCACCTGGCGCGGTGGGAGGAAGCACCGGGAAGACCTCGTCTCCCAAACTGGGCAGATGGTGAAGATGCCCGGCGCGCGCGAGCCAGGCCGCGGGCACGTGACCGGCCCCACCGCTGCTCGCCCAGGTTTTGCTGCTGAGTCTCCCCAGAGAGCGTCCCCTCATTCTTTGGGGACTTGACTTGGCATCGTAGGAGTCTTGTTGCAGGTGACAGTGCCTTGGATTTCAGGCTGGCAGTCGTTTCCTCCGGACCATGGAGCCCTTAAAACGGATCGCTCTTCCGTGTGCCGAGGGAGCCCCCCAGCCAGCTAATCCGGGCAAGGGCATTCCCATCAGTGACCTTGACTCTGGAAAAGAATGTGCATTTTCTCTTGCAGACAGATTAAAGTTGCAGGCACCTGAGGGGAAGGAAAGTGTTAGCCTGGTTTTGGCTCTCTGTAGGTGATCTTCCCTGGTTGGCTGGTAAGGTGAAACCTGTAGGACTTAGCTGGGATCCTTCCAGACACCCAGCAGCAAGGTGGAGGCTGCTCATTGGGGAGATTCTTGTCTTACTTTACTGTTGCTTCTGCTGCCAGGGAACAGGGTAAGGAAGCCTCTTGGGAAATGAAGTAAGTTCTAGATAGTGTTTTTGGCAGAATAGGGGACACTATAATTAGTTCATTCCAGAACTGCGAACCATGACCAGATGTCTAACCCTACAAGTAGTCTGAAAGGGTCTTCAGAACTTACCTTTTGAATTTCTTTGGTCTCTTAAGCCTTTGGGGGAGTTCAGAAAGCTTTTGGGGTGCCAAGCTGTTTAATTGTAGTAGTGCTATTGTTTCATTTCCATTCCTGTCAGAGATGGACCTGAGCATCCCAGAAGCCTATATTATTGGACACCATTAGAAGACTTAACCCGTAAAGCTAGCAGAGCCCAATCAACTCAGGAGTGGAAATTTCCTGAGATCTAAGCCAGCACCTGGTATGACTGGATACCAAGAAGCCTTCCAATTTGTCGTCATTGTTAGCAGCTGCCTGAGCTCTCTCGACTCGCCTGTAGTTTACTTGGTGCTTGGTCTTACTGTTGCTGTTAGGGAGGCTTTAGAAGGCAAAGAGTCTTTCATCCTGGGAGGATTGACCCCTATCATCTTGATCCTCAAGGTCAGAAGTAGTTTCACTTTTTGAGAGGAGAGTCTTTAACCTTGGTGGGAGAAACAAACAGTCGTTATTCTGTTGTTCTACCCTATCCACTGTCAGGTAATTAAGGGAACACCTGATTTGGAGAGAAGCAAACCTGAAAGTTTTGGAATTACTTGACATCTTGTTTTAAGATTGTTTGATTTCTGTTTATCCGAATGGTTATACTAAGTGGTGGCTTAGTACTAGCTCTGGGTATCTCAGTGCTGTAAATTCTGTCTCTTCGCAGGGATCTGGGTTTGGCTCTGGGCTGGAATTGGTCTAGGAGGACCAGTTCACTTCTGGACTCTTGATGCCAACTCAACCAGCCCTGTTGACAGTTATTTCTTGTACCATTGAGAATTGTGTTCCAAGCAGGCTGTTTAATAACTTTGAGCAAGAAAACTTAAAAGTGTAGAATATTTTTAGACTTTTTCAAGATTGTTGATACCCGTGGTTCCTTTGCCGCAGTCCTGTATTATCTCCTAGATAGGGCCTACTCTGAAACAACTCAATAAAAATTGTCGATTTTGTCCGGTGTAATGTTAGGCTTAAAGCCCAAAACTTTTAAAGATGTGCACTTAAATTTCTGAGCCTTTGTTTGCTGAGCAGCCTACCCAAAACAGTGGCCAGGACCCTTGACACTTACTGGATGGAACAAAGACAGAAAATGAAGGGTGAATCATCGAGTGCTAATGGTAGGACCATTGTGTTTGATCTTCCTAGTGACCTTAGAGTGCTTGAAGGTGACTGGTTGGGAGCAGGAAGCAGGGCGCAGTGTGGTTAGCAGTGGTGAACTGGGTAACTAAGTAGGAAAGCTGACGTTTCCGGTTTTCAGACTCCTGGTGAGCACAAGAGGAAACCCTGCTTTGTGGCTCTCCAGAGTCACATAGATACTCCGCTCTATTTGCAGTGCTTAGTAATAGAGTTGAGTACCCTGTCAGATTTAAAGCACTGGTGAGATGACTTTAGCAGTAGGTCTTTCTTAGGATCTGTCTTCAATTCTTCCTTCAATTTTCTTAAGTCCTTGTGTTTCCTTTTAACATACTGTCATTCTTAAAGGTCTCTAATTTCACAGGGTGCTTTCATCACCTGGGTGATCACCCATTCGTGAGTCCTACCTTTGGATTTTGATTCAGCAAAGGTGGAATGGAATCTGGAAACCAAGTTTTTCAAGTTCCTCAGTTGACATATTTGATGTTCTCTCTCTCTCTCTCTTTTTAAAGATTTACTTATTTATGCATATAAGAACTAGGGTGCAGGCCAAAGGTACAGGGGTTGAAAGGATTCCCCAGAGACAGAGTGGGGAGCAGAACAGGCAGATCCACTGAAACACACTGCTGAGGGGAGCAGCGGGAGACAGAGAGGTCTGCTGTGTGCACCCTGTGGATCACTCGTTGGTGGAGATTGAATTTGTGCTGTTGCAGACAGCTTAATAGTGCTGTGCTTAACCCCTTGCACCACGAGGGAGGCCTGGTGTTCTCTTTCTGATAGGCCAGTCAAACTACACACAAACCTTTTTATTTGCAAGTTTATTGAATATATGCATGAAACTTTGAGTGTTTTCAATTTAGTGATTATTTTAAAAACTGATTTCAAAAGTGACTTCTAAGTAATAGTCAGTTTTAGCCTATTTTCTGTAGTTTTGTATTCATAAGTCATTGTTCCCAAATGCATTTGAAAACGACTTCTAAATCCTGGAGCAAAACATTAGGGACTAAAACTTTAAGGTAACTAGTAGAGGCAGGGCCTTCCTGGTGGCGCAGACTTTAAAGACACAGTGCTATCAAGAGATCACCTGCCGCTGCAGCAGCAAACCCTGGCTGCCAGGGAGTGACCCACATGGCACAGCAAACCTCTACTGTCTCCCCTCAGCAGTGCATTTCCATAGATCCGCATGCTGGTGAATCCTCTCACCACCAACACCCTCCCCCCACCTGCATCCCAGTTCTTGTGTGCATAAATTAAAAAAAAAACAAAAAAAAGTAGAGGTTAGGGAACAGTCTCCAGTTCCTGAGAATGTATAAGGGGACAATCACATCCTAAATACTTTATCAATTGCTATTTATCAATTACTGTATACTCAGTGTATGCATTAGTTGTTAGTCAGCAAATACTTGTTAAAGAATGGGAAGGATGGCCCTCCCTGGTAGCACAACGGGTTAAGGCACAGCACTAAGAAGCTAAAGCCACTTCCACATGAGTTTGATTCCCGCCTGCCCTGGAGGAGATCCACATGGCGCGGCAGACCTCTCCTGACCAGCCCGCTGCTCCCCTCCGTAGTATACTTCGTCGATCTGCCTGTTCTGCTCTGTATGAATAAATAAATCTTAAAAAGAATGGGAAGGATTTCTACTGAAAGGTAAACTAGGACTCTTATTCTTTTGGGTGGCTGAATGGGTGCCTTTTGTTGTCTTATGGAGTGGTCAGTGAACCTTTAGAGAAGTACCCGTTGGAAAATGACAAGTAGAATTCTGTTTTTAAGGACTTAATTTACGCACAGAAGGACTGGGGTACAGACCAAAGATGCAGGCGCCGAGAGAATTTACAGAGTGGGGAGAACAAGCAGATCTACTGAAACACACTGCTGTGGGGAACAGCGGCTAAGATTGGAGAGGTCTGCTGTGCCCTGTGGGTCACTCCCTGGGTGGGGATCTTAACTGCCGCAGTAACTGTCAGGGAGGCCCTGACAGGTAGAATTATTAAGGGAATTCCCTTGTGCACAAAGGGGGTCAGTATGAAAATCAGAATATTACTCTGTAAGACTGAAAAATGGTCTGTCCCAGTATAGTGCAGGCCAATTTCTAGGGTCGTCACTGTGAAACACAGATGTTAAGTGACTAATTCTCTGGTTTGGTTTGGGGAGAGAGGAGCTTTGTCCTGTGCATGTTCTTTTCCTTCTGTATTGGAAACCTTTATGGCACAAGAGTTTTTCTACCAGTTATGAGTGCATTATGCTTGGTTCATTGACTAAGCCAGTTCTTCTGGCTTGGCAAGCTCTCCTCTTTTGTTGATGGAGGACAAGGGCTCTATTAAAATCAGGAGCATCTCTTTCAAGCTTCTAATTCTGTAGCTGCTGGAAACGTAGGAACACATACTCTCAATGTGCTGGGCTGGAAGATCAAAGAAAATTTGGCTTTTCCCTTGTAGATGTAAAGCAGGAAAATAAGTGTTTACCCAAGTAGAATTCTCTTATTACCAGGATTTGGGAGAGCAGTCCTCTTTCTGTTGAGGCAAGAAAGAGAATTGAAAACGTAAGAGACCCTTTAAAAAAGCTTCTTTTCTAAAGACGCTAAATGTTTCTTGGTAAGTGATTGGGCCAAGTATTGTAGGCGGGTCTCGGAGAACTCCCTGCATGTGCTGTTAGTCCTCTTCCTTCCTTGTCCCTTGAATTCTTCCAATTTTATTTTTCCATTCTAGCCCACATCTATCAATGATAGCAAACTCATGGAAGAAATTCTTGCAAGGGGGGGCAGCATAAGAGATTTGGGAAGCCCTCTGAGAGGTTGTGATCCCTGACTTCAGACATACTGTAAGCGCTATCCTTGTTTGTGGCCTCCCCCTCCCCCCATGGAAAAAGCTGGCCTGTTGGGTGAGGTGGCTCCTGGCTCACCTGACACCTGGCTGCTGCCCTCTGACTAGTGGTGTGTGTGTACTCAGCCGCCAAAAGCCCAGTTGCCACACCTCCAGGTTGGGGGAGGAGCTGGGAGGTGGAAGCTCAGGAATGATTCAGAGGTTTGTAATCTGCCTGTCCTATCAGGAAGTGTAGTCTGAATGAAGTGCATGAAACTCCCAGCTCTCTGTGGCAGCCAGAGGGTAGGTGAAGTGTGTGGGCATAGGTGTGACAAATCTCCACCATCTCCTCCAGTTGCTCTTCTTGTAGAGATTATGGTTAGTTAAATTTGTTTTTTCATGAGATGTCCTCTTGGTTGATACTCTCAAAAAAAGGAAATTATTTCCTTTATTTCAGCCCATGCTCTTGCTTGACTGTCTCTTTTCCTGGGATCTAAGAAACACATTTCTAAGAAACAATTCTTCATTGAACTCAGTTATACAGAAGGCACTGTTATAGGTGCTTGCGTGAAAATTCTTTCCTATCATTTACTTGCCCTGAAAACTGACTTTATTTAGTGCCAATTTGGAGATGTGAAAACTTGCTGTAGGTGTTAGATCGCGTAGCTAAGGTCACACCGCAGTACAGTGTTGCAGCCAGGATTTAGTGTTTGATCCTTGAAAAATTCACATCCCATGCACTGTATATTCTACCCTACTGCTCCCTTGCCTAGACGGGTGTGTCTCACTCAGACTTGTGCAAGTGAAGCATCTAGTGAGCTTGTTCATCTGAACACTTCGATCCAGTAGGTCTAAGGTGAGTGAGAGTGTGCATCTAACAAGCTCCAGGTAATGCTAATGCTGCTCATGGGGGCACCTGTATGGCATCTTCATTGGCGCCTTAGGACAGATTCTGAGCACAGTAGCCTGAGTACTATCCTAAATACGGAGGAGGAAAGGGAAATAGTAGTATTTTGTAGTATTTTAACGTCTCTAGTTTTAGTAATGAAGTCAAGACTAGTACCCAGATTTTCCTCATTTAGCCTTTTGAGTGATCATATCAATGAATTGCTATCTTTAAAATCCTTTTGATTTCTTCTAAGCTGTAGGGATATCTTAAAATATGATTGTACTTGATACTGAAGGGTACAAGAAAGTAGCCATACTATTTAACCTGATATATTTACTGTATAACAGACATAAAGCATTTGCTGTGTGTCAGATATGGTTTCAAGTTCTTTGTAAATACTGACTTCATTAACCCTTGTAGCAAGCCTCTGAGGTAGCTGCTGTTACTCCCATCTTACAGTAAAGGCAACAGGCACAGAAAGGTTAGTGACTTGGCCAGTGAGTGCAGTCAAGTGTAATAGAAACAATATACTACTAGGTTCGTAGCCAAGATCTCAACAAACTTTGCAAATTGGAGGTCTGGCTAAGAAATACTGCTGGTAGACAGTAGGGACAGAGTTGCTTCTGAGACTCCTTATTAAATGGCAGAGAAGGTCTCTACAAAGGAAATGAACACTTTGCGGATGGTGGGAGTGCAGTGCCGTTTTTGTTCCAACTTCCTCTTCCCTGACTGTTCTCCCTAAATGGCACTCATGTAAGCATGTCTGAGAAGTCACTGTCAGCTAAGCATCAGCCAACACGTCTTATGCCCTGGACACCGTGGAATAGAATAGTTCCCTTGTTAGGTGACCTTCCACGCCTTTCTTTCTTACTTCCTCTCTCCCTTCTCATCTTAAGTGAAGTAAAAGAAGTGTACACCACAGTGGTTCTAGCAGGTCTCTCTCACAGGGGAAAATAAACTTTGGTTCACATTCAGTTGGTAGAGGAAAGCCTCCACCCTGAAGTTCTTTTCCATTTTCATCATAAGATCTATTGTGCTTGTATTTTTTTTTTTTTTGCCAAGATTTAACCTTAATCTGTGCATACAGTCTTGTATCTTGCTAATGATATAGCCAATCATTCTAGAAACTTTAAAATGTCTCATTAAGGAGACATTTCAGCATATTCTCTCAACGGATGTTTGTTCCCTGTCATCTTTTTAAAGAACAAATCCAAGCCACCATAACCAGATGTCTACAGCTGAAATTTATCCTTCAGGACCATGGTCTCTGGGTGATGGGGTCTGTTCTATTTTGTGGACTCATGGAGCCTGGAGGAGCTTGGCCAAGCTGGCTCTGTAGAACACCAGCCTTGATTAGTCACATGGCTTCCCTTGTCCACGTTTTGGCAACTAACGAAACAAGCAGAGTTACTCCCTTTAGTGCTGGGTATGGCCCGCGTGTGCACCGTGGAGGCTGAAGAGGCTGGAGGGCTGTTTGCACTGCCCAGTGCTGTGTCTCAGCAGAACCATCTTCAGTGTGCGGGCGGGCCGCTTTAGGGCTGACAGCGGCTCTGGTTAACAAGGTGTCTCAGCCCCCTCTGCTTCGGGGGCATACTTGCTTGCCTTTTGCTCTGTCAACTTAGCCTCTTTATAAGAGAAGCTTTTTTGAAGGTCTCTAACCCTCTCAGTCTTCTTTCCTGCCCCAATAGAGAGAGAACTAGTCAACTCTTAAAGCCCTCATGACCCTACTGAACTCTCACCCTGCCTAGACTTGAGATTTCAGAACTTACATAGGACCCCATATGACTTTCAGCACAACCAGAGAGCAATGCAATAGTTACTGGAGAGGTCTCTGGAGGAAAGTTGTACATTTGGTCTGTGATTAGTTTGTTTAATCTTTTTAGTTTGAAAAGTGCTTTAATATCCATTGTAGTTTAATTATAACAACGCTGTGAGAATTACCTTGGGTATTAGCATAATTTTATAGATGAGGAAACTCTCACTCTATCTTTAAAATTATCTTGTACAGGGGTCTCCCTCGTGGTGCAGAGTTAAAGCCCAGCACTGAAGTCATCCGCAGCCACTGGGGAGTGACCCACAGCGTGCAGCAGACCTCTTCTGTCTCACCTGCTGCTCCCCTCAGCAGTGTATGTCAGTAGATCTACCTATTTTCTTCCCTACTCTGTCTCTAGTTAATCCTCTCACTGCCCCTGCACCTCTGGCCTATACCCAAGTTCTTGTATTCATAAATAAATAAATCTATACAGAAATAAAAAATTAAAAATTCTCTTGTGCAGCAAAATTGTTTTGTCTAAGCTGTTAAAGCTAGCTGGTAGTATAATTAATTGGTGTTCTTTTTCGAAGCATTGTTGAATTTCTTTTGTAATTCAAACTTCTCATAGAAAGGAACTTTTTTTTTTAAGATTTATTTATTTGTGCATACAGAACTGGGGCACAGGCCAGAGGCTCAGGGGCAGTGAGAGCTTCACCAGAGATAGAGTGGGGAGCAGAACAGGCAGATCGACAAAGTACACTGCTGAGGGGAGCAGCAGGCGGGTCAGGAGAGGTCTGCCACGCCATGTGGTCACCTCTGGGGCAGGCAGGAATCGAACTCATGCAGAAGTGGTTTCAGCTTCTTAGTGCAGCATTCTAACCTGTGGTGCCACCAGGGAGGGCCAGAAAGGAACTCTTTTGAGGAAAAGTAAAACCTACCTCTAAACAAAGAAAAACATAGGTTAGCTATTCTGTATTCCGTTTACCTTTGTAATGAACAATAGCTTTCTTGAATCTTAGACCCACCTTTCTGGATGATTTTCTTCCTGAAGCGTAGCTTTAAAAATGTCTTTGGTGTAGACACAAAAAACACTGATTCAAAAAGATACCTTATCTCCATGTTTATTGCTGCTTTATTTACAATTGGAAAGATGTGGAAACAACCCAAATGCCAAAAAAATAGTTGACTGGATTAAAAAGATGTGTTACATATACACAGTGGAATAAACACATGGCCTTTTGCAGCAACATGGATAGAGCTGAAAAAGATCATGCTTAGTGAAAGCCAGAAAGAAAAGGAAAAATACCGGATGGTTTCCCTTATAGCAGGAATATAACAGACCAGGCGAGAAAATAATGATGATGAAGAACAGCTATAGACCAGAGACATTTTATGGGGGTGCAGTGGGGAATGGGATCAAAAACAGTGGGGGGAGGGAAGTGCACTGGACTATGGTGATGGCACATGGGTGGTTTGGTGATGGGGAGCCCACGGGGGTTGCAACTGAGATGGAAAAAGGCACAAAATGATGTAAAAGTAAACTTACATTATTCATAAAAATAAAAAAGAACAACAAACGTAGGAACTGTAAACTCTTCTAAAAAAAAAGTCTTCAGTGTGAGTATATAGATGGCTTAAACTATTAGCCTTTATTTGTCTGAAATACCTTTATTTCAACTTCATGTTTTCTCTTGGGGACAGAGGACTCTCAATTATTTTCTCTCAGCACTTTGAGGGTCATTTTCTAGTTTTATCTTCCATTGTCATTGTGTAATTTGCAAATTGCTGTGTTACTTTGCAAATGCTCTTTTTTCCTGGAGGCCTGAAGTAGTCTGTGGAAGCCCCTCTCAGGGGCTCTCCTAGCTTGGAGGGCCACAGGAAGGCTCAGTGCCTCAGAGCTGTGCTAGCCCTGCTGGGTGGCTAGATCAGGACTAACTGGGTACTTTTAACTGCTTCTCTGACCTTTCCTCTGTGCCTGACAACCCAGGCCTGAATGAGGAGCTAGACAGTGAGGTGTTTCTCTGCAGGGAATGCCTCCAGGTAGCTCCTTCTGCACTGTTCAATCTTTGGTAGCTTTTTTTTTTTTTTTTTAAGATTTATTTTTTATGTGCCCAGAACTGGGGTACAGGCCAGAGGTGCCTGCAGGGGCAGTGAGAGAATTCCCCAGAAAGAGAGTGGGGAGCAGAATAGGCAGATCGACTGAAGTACACTGCTGAAGGGAGCAGCAGGGAGACAGGAGGGTCTGCCGTGCCATGTGGGTCAGCTTCTGGACCAGGGATTAAACTCGCACTGAAGCAGCTGCGGCCAGCTTGCAGTGCTGTGTCCTAATCCATCGCCAGGGAGGGCCCACTTTGGTAGCTTTTCTGATGCTAAACTGACTTTTGAAGCTAAGATGAAGTGAAAGGCTGAATTACTGAGGAGGACTAACCACTGCCTTCGGTTTTGTTTTCTTGGCAGAATGCATCCTGTCTTGTTCTTGCCGCCCGGCATGCCAGTGCTTCTTCCACAGTAAGATTCAGAAGGGGGATGAGAACGATTGAGCACCCAGGCCCTGGGGCCCAGAGTGTGGGTGGAGGCATTGGCTACCACCTGGCCGCATCATCCTGAGAATCTCCTGCAGCGTCCTTGTTACCACGACTAGTGGTGGTGATGATTCAACAGCTAGTTAAATAATTTTACTTAATAGTGTAGTGAAGTGGGAATATCAAATCTTTTTAAAGGTTTTTTAAATTATAAATTATACACAACATAAAATTTACCATTTTTAACCATTTCTAAGTTTACATTCAGTGGCAGAAAGTCCCTTCACAGTATGGCAGCCACCACCGCCTTCCATCTCCAAACTGAAACTCTAGTAACAACTCATTACTCTCTCTGCCTAGTTATTTGAGCTTTATCTGTACAGAGTAGTTAACCAGACTTTCCTAGCAGAGACCACCCAGTTCTAAAGAGCTTTGTTAATGTAAGTTGCGGGAAATCTAATGAACTCTCTTACCATCACTTGCGTCTCATCTTGTTAGAATCTGAAGGATGTATTGGCTGACCTGATACCTAAGGAACAGGCCCGAATTAAGACTTTCAGGCAGCAACATGGCAAGACAGTGGTCGGCCAGATCACTGTGGACATGGTGAGTACTGTCGGCTTTGGGCTGGAGATGCTATACTGTGCCTCAGCAAAGGTGCCGTTCCTCTCACTGCTGCTTCAAGACATCTGTCCTACACAAGGACATGTAGCTTATGCTGCTCATTAGAAGTTAAGATTGTTCTTTTCTACAAACTTAATGGTGGAACTTAACTTAATTCCTAACTCCTCAGCGTCTCAGGTCAGAGCTCTAGGATGATTTCCTCCCCAGCCCTAGAGTCTGAATCCCTCAGATAGTAACTCCTTATCTTTGTTTACCATTGGTATCTCCATCTCATTCCCTTGTGACAGAGTCTGTTCTATTTCCTTTCATTTGTGGGAATGAGGGAGTAAGAATGGAAAGGAGAAAGAATAAAATACAAGAAAAGGAGCAGAGAGGCAAAAATATTAAACAGTGATTTCTCAATTGAAATTTTTCATTTCCAACATTAGCAGATTTCCTGGGTACAGCGTTCTATACTATAATAAGTTAACTCTGAAATCTTCCCCCAGTGAAGTTGTGTAAGGACTTCCTCTCCAGACCCCATAAAGTGCTACCAAGTGCTGGCCTGAATGGTTCTGACTGTGTTTACATCCTCTTCTTTAGATGTATGGTGGCATGAGAGGCATGAAGGGACTGGTGTATGAAACATCAGTGCTGGACCCTGATGAGGTGAGAAACCCTTTCAGCGATCACTCACTGAGTTTTACTGACCATCATGGATTACACAAGTGAGGGCAGAGAGAACAGAATAGAGCATTTACATATTTTGGAGGGTGGGAAATAGGGTGGGCACATGTGGAATAACTGAAGAGTATGTCTGCCTTTGTAATGTGTCAACTAATAAAAATAACAGCACAAAGGGGATGTGTGAAAATCCATGGCTTTAAAAGTTCTGACTTGTTAAAAGGTCTTGGGGCAAGTTGATTTCGTGACTTTCAGGCTGATACATTGAGAAGTTGTAATGCTTCCTTCTCCCTCAAGGGCATCCGTTTCCGAGGCTACAGCATCCCTGAGTGCCAGAAACTGCTGCCCAAGGCTAAAGGTGGGGAAGAACCCCTGCCTGAGGGCCTATTTTGGCTGTTGGTAACTGGACAAATCCCAACAGAGGAACAGGTAAGGAAGCACAAATGTGCCCCCTCCACCACCACCCCCTTCCTCTTCGCTCAGGCACGTAAGCCTGATCTGGCTATAAGTGGAATTTTATAGTGATGGGAAGAAATCAGAGTTTTGCCGAATTTGGGTTGAGTTGAGTTGGGTTGGGTTGAGTTCTTTTGGAATTTTCACTCAAAAGGTCACTTATCCCTCCTTTTCCCCTTGCCAGTGTTTTAAGCAGTGTTTCTCTTTCTACAGGTGTCCTGGCTCTCAAAAGAATGGGCGAAGAGGGCAGCTCTGCCTTCCCATGTGGTCACCATGCTAGACAACTTCCCCACCAATCTACACCCCATGTCTCAGCTCAGTGCAGCAATTACAGCCCTCAATAGTGAAAGTAACTTTGCGCGAGCGTATGCAGAGGGTATCCACCGATCCAAGTATTGGGAGGTAGGAGTCTTGGGTGTGGTGACTGATGTGTGGTAGTCATCCAGAGGACTTTGGAATTGCAAAGAGAAATAAAACCAAAACCAAGGTTACTGGTTTGTTTGAGGGATACACATGTAAGAACTGCAGTTCAGCAATCTTACTGTAATAAAGTTATGTACACAGAGCTGTTGGAACATTGAAAAGGATGTGACTTCATGACAGCTACCTAAGAAGATATCCTAGAGTGTCAGCCTAACCCTGAAGTCACACCTAGTCCCTTCTCTCAAGGAGGAGAATTTGAGAAATCTTCCAGGTTGGGTGAGTGGCAACGAAGGCGACTCAGGAGTCTGGAAGAACTAAAGCCAGCAGCACATTTCTGAGCTAGCCCACTCAGGGTAGTTGCTTGCTGCAGAAAGGTTTGTTAGTGTCCTGGGCATAGGATCCAGAAATAAGAGGGTTTGATTTTCTGAAAATGAAATGTGAACTTAATAATTTGAATTCTCGTTGGTTGGATATGAGACAGTCCTAATAGATTATTCAAAATTCCTTCCATCCTCTTTCCAATACCTCTGCATACTTAGAAATACTGAGTAAAGTATAAGTTACTTGGCAAGGTTCTTGCAAGGACATCTCACTTTCTTTTGTTTCTTACTTTGGTAATATAGGGACAGAAAAATTCCTTTTTGCAAAACAGGGACACGAAAGATTTTCATCAAGAGAAGACCCCAAAGAATCTGTTGTGTGACGCAGGGCATGGAATGGCATGGCTTACTGGCTCGATAAAGTCTCTTTGGAGTTTTGGCAAATCCTTTTTCGTTCACTTGGTTAATACTTATTCAATAGCAGCTGTGTATAGAGAATTGTATTTGCAGTAGATATTAGAGGCCTCCCTGGTGTCTCAGATTAAGTCACTGTGCTGTCAAGCTGTTACCAGCCACTGCAGCATGAGTTCAGTTTCTTTCTGGGGAGTGACCCACAGGGTGCAGCAGCCCTCTCCTGTCTCCCCGCTGCTCCCCTCAGCAGTGTGTTTCACTCCCTCTGCCTGTTCTGCTCCCCACTCTGTCTCTGGGGAATCCACTTACCCCTTCACACATTCCCCCTGTATCAATGGCCTGGATCCCAGTTCATTTATGCATAAATGAATGAAATAAAAAACCTTTAAAAAACAGATAGTAGCCTGGCATTGAGGAGGAGGTAAGCACAGAATAATGTAAAATATACACATCACAAGCACTTAAAGCATGTATAAAGCCTACAGCAGATTCCGAAAGGTCATATAACCTGAATATTGCCGCTTCATTTCTTAAATGCTGTCGAACGATCATGTGGATCATTAAAAGACAGTTATATAAATCAAGAAGTTCCCGTTAATAAAAGTGCTGTTGCCTTATTAGTCATAACTGCTGTGGGCTGGGAGCGGGGACGCCCACCAGCTGCTTCCATCTTCTGGCACCAGGAGCCCAGCTCTGCCGCGCTGCTTCACACTGCCCTTCGTTGAATCACTGAGACAAAGCTTGCCCTCCCCTCCCTGTTCTTGTCTCCATTTCAGTGCGTAGTCACTGCCTGTGCTGTCACCATCTCTGAGATGCCATCTGAGGGTATCTGTCTTGAAGCAAACATTTCAGGTTTTTGCTGAACTTTGAGAGTAGAAGTAATATGGATGTATTTGTCAGTCTTAGCATACACGTCTAGTAAGTTCACACAGCACAAAAATTAGCAGCGACAGATGCATTAGTAGGCCTTGACAATTTCCTACTGCTATATCTTGTATCCCTGTCAAAGATCAGATTTGTTACTGCTGTTCAGTTTCCAGTCTTTGTTAATTTACCAAAGATTAATTTTACTAAAAGGAGAAATGGATAACTCATGATGACGAGTAGGATTAGTTTTATTAACCTTAATTCCATACATTTTGATGGTGGCATGTTTTGACATCTTTTTATCCCTAGACTTCACAGCTTAAGAATGGGGGGCCTCCCTGGTGGCACAGGGGTTAAAGTCTCAGCGCTGCCAAGCTATCTGTCGCCAGCCATTGTGGCCTGAGTTCCATCTCCGGCCAGGGAACTAACCCACTTGGCACAGTCTTACCCTCAGTACTCCCCTCAGCACTGTTTCAGTGTGTTCCTCCTGTTCTGTTCCCTACTCGTCTGGTGAATTCTCTCACCACTGCACACACCCCCTCACACGCACACCTCTGGCCTACACCCCAGCTCTTTTATGCATAAACAAATAAATCTTAAAAATAAAAATCTTTGAAACAGATAACTTAGTTAATGCTTACAAGTTCTGAGGGGCTTTTTTCTTTTAAGGTTTATTTATGTACACAACTGGGGTACAGGCCAGGGGTGCAGATGGGATTCACCAGAGACATGGGGAGCAGACAGGCAGACTGACGAAGTACATTGTTGAGGGGAGCAGTGGAGAGAGGTCTGCTGTGCCCTGTGGGTCACTCCCTGGCTGGGAATTGAACTAGTGCTGCAGTAGCTGCCGTGCTGAGAGTTAACCCTTTGGGGCACCAGAGAGGCCCACTAAGTTTCTTCTTTCAATTTTGTTTTCATTTTGGCACATTCTCATTTAATCTTGGTGTGGTGGTGACCGAATTCATTGAGTAGTTGCATAACAGATTACCTCACAGGGATTGACTCCTTTAAGCTAGGTGCTGGGATTTTGCTTTTTGTCCCAGTAGTCTTACTGAAGCCTTGTCACTTCTTGCAGGTCAGCCAGATAGACTGGCATTGTGTGATCCCAGTCAGTCAGTATTCACTCAGTGCTTTCTGTGTACCCAGAACTGTGGGGGATATCAGAACTTCTAAAGTTCCTAAAACCAAGCTATTAAAACTTTCTTTTCCCTGAGACAACTTAAAATTCCTATGAGAAGATAATATTGAGATACAAAAGTTAGTAGACTAATCAACATTATAAAAAAGAAGCAACCAGATAATTATCAAATGATAGACCAAGCCTATAGATCTATATGTTTGTAAGAACTAGTGACAGAGAAACATGGTAATAACATCACAGCTATATAATCAGCAAAATCAGTGGGAATGTGTATAGAGCACATGAGAGAAGGAGCTTAAAATTGATGAATATAGGCTTCAGGGAAATGCCAGATAACAGCTTTGTAGGCCATTTTGGTCCTGACTCAAATGAGGTGACGTCTATGTAATCAGAGGAATTTAAATATTGAGTAAATATTTAGAAGTATTTGCATTTGTTTCCGTTTTTAGGTGGGGTAATGGTTTTGTAATTTTTTGTCTTTAGAGATTAAAAATTTTAATATTGTAGATTGAGGTATAGTTGCTCAAAATAACTTGGAAAGTTTGAGGGAAAAGTTAGGGTATGGGTGAAATAACAGTGGCCGTGAGTTAATGATGGCCGAGATGGGTGAGTCACCTTGTGTGAGTTACCTAAGCTGCTGTTTGACTTGGTGTATATCGTGGATGTTCTTTACAAGATGGAAGTAAGATCAGTTAGTAAGACTCGGTGTCTTGCCACAGTCTTTGAGTACGAAGCCCTGTCATGGCACAGATCATGTAAACATAATGGTTCAAAATCTGACTTGACATTTAGCTGACTGCTTAGAGCCTCTGTTACCTCATTTGTGAAGTGGAGGTTATATACTTTGTAAAGTGGTAACAACTAGCATGTAGCTTTAATGTATATGAGATGGTGTGTGTAAATCACTTAGTGCAGTGCTTGGATCATAGTTATTTTTCTTTTTTAAAAAAATTTATTTGTGCATACAGAACTGGGTTACAGGTCAAAAGTGCAGGAGCAGTGAGAGGATTCACCAGAGACAGAGTGGGGAACAGCAGGCAGGACAATGAAGTACACTGCTGAGGGGAGCAGCAGTTGAGACAGGAGAGGTCTGCTGAGCCATGTGGGTCACCTCCCGGGGCAGGGACCGAACTTGAACTGAAGCAGCTGCGGCCAGCTTGCAGTACTGTGTCCTAACCTGTTGCGCCACCAGGGAGGGCCCAATAGTTTTTTTTTTTTTTTTTTTTTTCAATTAGTTGTTATTCTTTATATAACCACCCAGCATATAACTAACCGTCAACTCAAATACCCTGACCTAACGCAAATGGAGAACAAACAGCATCTCTGCCTGATTCTTCTTTGCTAATAATTCCTTTTCTTTTTTTCTCTATTTTCCTCTTCTCCCAATCAGTTGATATACGAAGATTGTATGGATCTGATTGCAAAGCTACCTTGTGTTGCAGCAAAGATCTACCGGAATATCTACAGGGAGGGCAGCAGTATTGGGGCCATTGACTCCAAGCTGGACTGGTCCCACAATTTCACCAACATGTTAGGCTATACTGATGCTCAGTTCACTGAGCTCATGCGCTTGTACCTCACTATCCACAGGTGGGTGACACCCAGCAACCATAGCCACAGGTGACTGGTGCTAGTGGGAAACTGTCAGAAAAGCTCTTTAACTATTCTCACTTTCTGAGAACAAATGGTACGCAACAAGGAGAGGGAAAAACATAAGGGATGAGATAAAAAGACTTCTAGTAAAGAAGGTCCCATGTAGGCAGTTACCTGTAGCCCCACGAAGAACAAGATAGTGCTTGTAGCTGGACCCTTTGGCTTTCCAGGAGCTCCCTCTTCTGGCCATGAGCTGTTACAGCTGGGTGAGTGGAGGGAGCTTGGACACAGGAGCCATCTCGTGGGTTAGTGAACAAAGACTGGTAACGAGATTGGAACATCTCCTGTACCGCGTAGCTGTAGCTGACAGGATGGAGGTCAGTTGGAGCTCGCGCTGGCTCGTGCGTGACAGATAGGAGGCCAGCAAGGTGGCATTCCTGCAGCGTGCCCCTTCCCCTCGTTCCTGTCGGCCCTCACTCTGCTCTCCTGCTCTCCCGCAGTGACCATGAGGGTGGCAATGTGAGTGCCCACACCAGTCACTTGGTGGGCAGCGCCCTTTCAGACCCCTACCTGTCCTTCGCGGCGTCCATGAACGGACTGGCAGGGCCCCTCCACGGCCTGGCAAATCAAGTAAGACTGTTTCCTTACGTGCTGCATGTTTTCCTTATCGTGCTTTCTAGTGTTTTGTTTCTGACCTTGGATTCTCTTCTGGTGTATTTATCGTGACTCTTTACTCCCCAAATCTGGCCCATAGGAAGTCCTTGTTTGGCTGACACAACTACAGAAGGAAGTTGGCAAAGATGTGTCGGATGAGAAGCTACGAGACTACATCTGGAACACACTGAACTCAGGGCGGGTGAGCAGACATGCAGAGCAACGAGGACAAGGACCAACACCAGCATCTGTTTTTCTGACCTGAAAAAATTTTTTTTCTTTTTCAAGATGTATTTATGTATGCTTACAGAACTGGGTACAGGCCAGAGGTGGGGTGGGTGAGAGAACTCACCAGAGACAGTGGGGAACAGAGCAGGCAGAGTGAGAAGTGCACTGCTGAGGGGAGCGGCGGGCGGGTGCTTTATATAATGCGGTGCTTTAATCTCTTGTGCCACCAGGCAGGGCCTTGGAGGTTTTTTAAAAGACGAGTTTTGACTTGACAATACAGATTGACTGTCCCTCTCGGCAGGTTGTCCCAGGCTACGGCCATGCAGTGTTAAGAAAGACTGACCCGCGGTACACCTGTCAGCGAGAGTTTGCTCTCAAACACCTGCCTCAGGACCCAATGTTCAAGCTGGTTGCTCAGCTCTACAAGATTGTGCCCAATGTCCTCCTAGAGCAGGGCAAGGCCAAGAATCCTTGGCCCAACGTCGATGCTCACAGTGGGGTGCTGCTCCAGGTGCGTCTCCCTTTACTGCTGCCTCTCATTGGTCCCCAGCCCTGTTTCCTGCCATTTACAAAGTCAGCTCCCCGGTCAGAGCAGGGACTCTTCCTGTACCTCCTCCCGCACCTTTCTGATGCTTGGGGTTGGGAGCACAGGCAGAAGGAGCTGTGCTTTCCTCAGGCCTCCAGTCGCTGTCCCTCCCCAGCGTCCTTCCGCTTCAGGCAGCTGAGCCGCGGCGCTGTTGGCCTGGGCTTGGACCGGCCGCTGCCTTTGGGCCCTTAACGAAGTGTTTTCCTTTCCCCTTCAGTACTACGGCATGACGGAGATGAACTACTACACCGTCCTGTTCGGCGTGTCGCGGGCGCTGGGCGTGCTGGCTCAGCTCATTTGGAGCCGAGCCCTGGGCTTCCCCCTGGAGCGGCCCAAGTCCATGAGCACGGAGGGTCTGATGAAGTTTGTGGACACTAAGTCGGGGTAAAGCTGGAGGAGGGGAACCAACTGCTAGAAAGTGAGGGAACTTAAAAATGTATACTTTTGTTTCAGGGGGCCTTTACATACTTAAGATTAAATTGTATCTGAGGCATTGATAAGAAGTTTGAGGTTAAAATATAAATTAAGACCTTAAAAGATAAAAAGTGACCCCTTCTTCCCTAATTAGCTCCGTTCCTCTGCCTGGTAAGACTTGTCCATCAGCTGTAGGATGATCAGGACTAATAATGCATGTGGTATGAGTTAGGTTTGGCCCCTGCACCCCACCACCGCCCCATCTCTAGGGTGAGACTGGCTCTCCCTGAGTCAGCGCTGGTTGCAGAGAATCTGCTCTCCTGTCAGCTCTTGGTTCCACTCTGCCCAGCCCGTCATCGGCCAGCGTCAGGATTCTGCCCTTGTTTCCACCGGATCATGTTGGATGGTCAGCTGTATCAAGCCCCTTTGCCGTCTCCCAGGCACACAGACACTTCCTGTTGAGACCTGTTGGTTAGCTGGACATGCTTTGGCATTTGGTTTTTATGCTACCAGGCGATCATAGAGGCCATGGCATTTGTTGTGATTGGCACCTAGTGTTTGATTCTATTTGTCTTTTTTTTTTTTTTTTTTTTAAGTCCTTCCTGAAAGTTAAGGTCTGGGAGTGTTCTTGTCCTCACTAGTTGAGTGCTCACACCCTGCGGTTAGCTGTACCTGCTGTACCTTAAGCTGAGGATGCTCCGGGCCTTCCCTTTTTGGCACCAACAGAGACCTCTTCAGCAGGCTGCACACAGCACTGTCTGAGCTCCAGTCTTTCCAGTCACTTGACTGCCAGTGCTTACTGTGAACTAAGCTTTTTTTTTACACCACAGAACACAAACCACTACCCTTTGACCCGGTGCGTGGGGGGTTTTCCTCCTCTTCTCATATGTTGTGGGCCATAGAATAGGGGCTTGGAAATGACCAACATGGTATCTTCATGGTCTGGTCCCAGGATAACTGCCCTCTTTCTGAGCAGGGAAATAAGATTACTCATAGTCTCCTTTGGATATCAGGTCCTGGGGCTGAGGGCATTAAAAATAATAAACCTCCCTTTTCATCCCCTGCCACAAGAAATTGTCCCCTTATTTATCAAGGCAAGTTCCTCATCCTGTCCCTTCCCTGAGAGCTCACAGCACAGTGTCTGTTGTAGAAGCCCCACTTGCACAGGTTCTCAGTGGCTCAGAATGCTCTATTGCCTTTTCTTTAAGAAAGGATTGAAATACACTCCTGCTGTGCCCCCTCCTCCCTCACACCCCTGCCTGTGTTGTGTGGATCCCCAGTACCCAGAACCACGCTGTTGAGATGGACACGCTGTAAACCCCTGGATAACTGTCAAGTCATGATGCAGACTTCAGGTTGTTCTGTATAAAATGCAAAATAAATGTTTTTATTAACAATGGTTGAGCCTGCTGTTAAATAAGACCTGGTGAGGAATCTGAATGGCTGGAGCTGGACTCCTGGGTATAAAGTAATCCTGCGCATCCCCTCAGGTGGGATTGGCTAATCAGAAGGTAGGCTCCCTGGGAGATTGGTCTCTGAGTTCTCAGAGTTAAAAGTCCTTGACTGATAGTACGCATTCTTCCTAACTTTTGTTCTTGGAACATTCTATAGCTGAGACTTCACAGCTGTGCATGTGACAAACCCAAGGAACCTGGTCCAGCCCACTGGGTGAAAGGAACACCACCAAGGGCAAGTAGGACGGATGGGGCTGCTGGCCTGCTGGCTCATGGTCCGGGCCACCGGAGGGCCTGGTATGTCAGGGAGCACCTGCAAGGAGATCCCCCGGATCGGGGGGCCCTAAGGGCCGCCATAATATGGATGACCTGACACCAGATTGCTTTACCCTGCGATCTCTGTCCCCTGACCTTCTGAGAAAGTCTATAAATAGACAAGGGCGTGGGTACTAGGTCCGGCTTCCAGAATGTACTGCTGTGGTTGGCAGGGACACCGTGTCCAAGAAGCTTGCTCGCACCTTTGTTTCCCTCAGCAAGGAAGCCATGATTTTCTTCTACTGTGCCACAATACTCCCTAAAGAAACAGTATTAAGCCAAATTCACACCCACACCATCAAAATTTATTGACATTTGTAAAAAGTTAGGCCAAGTGGAAGAATAAGTGCAACCCAAGAATACAACTCTTCGGTGTTTTCTCCTCACCCCGTTGGCACTGCTGGTTAAAACACGAGGCCTTTGCTCTCCACGCACCAGGCAGCATGGATATATAATTACAGTGAGGTCATAGGGGTCTCAAGCTGGGGGGCAAATCTCAGGTTTCTTCTGATGCATCTCAGGCAAGCACAAATTAGTATCTCTTGTCAGAGGTACTCAATTGAGCCAATCCTTTAGAAGTTACTATCCCTGGTCAGACCTTCAGGAACCTTGCTGGGCCCAGAGGCCACTCACAGTCCTCCTGAAGCTTGTGAGAAGGCACAAGGCTGCTCCACCCTTCCTGGAGTCATGCCCTCCCCCTGCTTTTTCTTTGCCCCAGCATTTCCAGCCAACAATTTCTGGGAGATAGTAATACGAACACAGACATCTCTCAGACAGATGCAGGAGTCAACTGAAATAAATAAGGGGGAGACGCGGAAGGAGAGGCTAAGAAGCAATCCTTCGCCTCAAGTCTGGTGCACCTCATGAAACATCAGTTCACGGGGGATGGCCGTTTCTGGACCAAACTTGGCAGCTGCCCGGCGCTCGAAGGCAGCAACGTTCTTTTTGACGACCTCATCAAAAAACATGGTGGCCAGCTGGGAGTGCAGCAGAGACCGAAATTCAAAGGAAATCTGGGGAAGGCAAGAGACAATGAGAAATTTAACACTATGGGTAGCTGCAAGAATGCTATGCAGTGCTTTGTCTGGGCCCTTCCCCTCTGGTTATTTAGGTGCCTCCAAGCCATAACAGGCCTGAGCGCAGGTTTTCATACAAGCTCAGCCCTGTGAAAGTACCATGGGCTTGGGAAATGCCAAGCGTTAGCAAAGTAGCTCAGCCCTGCCCCACCCCTGTGGTAGCTCACCGAAAAGTCCACAGTGCAAGTTCGGGGGTAGGCAGGAATGCCAGGGCTGAATCGCCAGGTGGTCTCCAAGTGGTTGAAGAGCTTGCCGTCAGTGCACACAGCCTAGAGTAGGGCCAGGCGGTCAGACGGACAGTGGAGTACAGCCCATACCCAGCGCGGACAGCATGAAGGAGTTGAAAGCCATTTCCTTTGGAGTAGTGGGGCAGTGGGCCCTCCCTGGTGCGCAGGGGTTAAGCGCAGCACTGTGAAGCTGTCCACAGCCACTGCAGCACAAGTTCAATACCCAGGCGGAGTCACACACGGCGCAGACCTCTCCTGTCTCGCCCGCTGCTCCCCTCAGCAGTGTCTCAGTGGATCCGCCTGTTCTGCTCCACACTCTGTTTCTGGTGAATTCCCTCACCCCCCCCCCACCTGTGGCCTGTACCCCAGTTTTTGTGCGCATAAATCTTTAAAAAAAAAAAAACAGTGGGGCAGTATTGGACATGGATATGAAATAATCAAAACGAAAGTAGCTGATAAATGTAAAAGTGCTAGAGGACTGGAGAAACTTTCTGATTAATCCCTCCCAGATGGCCTCACCTTGACCATGTGAGGTTTGACCAAGGAAACAGCAGAGGTGTAACGTTCCATGACAGGTGGAAAGCCAACCTCCAACTGGGCCTTCAGGTGACCTTTGCGGCTAGATACCACCAAAGACTTCTTACACCAGGGCACAAACTCGCGATACTCCTGGACATTGGACACCACTTCAAACATCTCCTGCATTGAGTACCTAGGAAAGAGAACCGCAGAAGCCATAATTTACTCACCGACTGCGCTTTCGGGAACTGGGGTCCCAGATGAGCCTGGAGGAATGACGTCGGAGAGCAGAAGTGCAAACTCCCGTGTCACTGTTAGCCTTTGCAGTTCAAAGAATGCTTTCGCACCTGCTATTTTGATCCTATGCGGGACTACCTAGGGAGAGCAGAACTGGTGATCATGCAGTGACCACAGCCTAGGTGCCTTACTGTAGCTCCACTTCCTCATCTGTAAAAGGCAGTGACCATTTCATCAAACCTCTGTTTGTTGAGAGGATCAAGTGAGAAAATCTCTGGACACCTAAGCAGCCTGGCGGGGCATAAGCATCCTCCCATGCGCACAGCAGTGCAGCCCGCGCAGAAGTAACGCCCGGTTGTTTGTGATACTGCCCAACTCCAGCCACAACACACGCACAGCAACCAGCAGAGGGATTGTGTGGAAGGCCCGCAGGACAGGGAGAATAGCGGTCAGTGAGCTGGGAAGAGCTCCCTTTTTATTTTCTAGGGAAGTGAGGATTTATTTCCTACTTCCACAAATAACGCTGGCAGAGTTGGTTGCTTTCTGGTGACGAGCCAAACAGACCAAATCTCGGGGAGAAATGCTGACCACTACTGCCACCCTTACGCGGTCCTGGCCTAAACGTCTATTTGTGTGGAGATGCAGGACGGGGAAGCAGCTCACCCCATAATCCTACGCTCTGAGTACGCCTTTCGCTTGTTGGTGAAGGGGGCAGCAAAGCCCATGAAAGAGCGGCTGGGAGGTAAGCCAGCCTCCGCCGCCAGGCCCTGGGCAGCCCGGGGCAAGAGGAGGCTGCTGGACAGCGGAAATCTGAAGGCAGAAAGAAAGGAAGCCAGGTGACCATTCCGCCTCTCCGCACCTCTTCGCGCTCTGCCCGCCCGGTGAAGGGAAGCGGCGGCGCGGAGGCCGGTCGCGCGGCCCGGCACCTGCTGCAGCCCGCGGAGCTCCGGGCCAGCTGTCACGAGTGCGAAAGGTCGAGGGCAGCCGGGGACAGCCGGGACAGCGCCGCGGGCGGAGATGGAGAGCGCGGGGCGCGCGCGACGCCCCTCTGGTCCCAGGCTGCAGCCTACGCGAGGGCCGGGGGCTTGCAGGGGCATCCCGGCCCCCCCG